CTGCGTACTTTACTTGGACTCTCGGCGTGTCTTCACTCACATTAGCGACACTCTCAACCTCTTCACAAAGCGTAAATACGTCTGGTTGCTCGACGTGAGATGCGATCTCCAGGAATCTGCACCATCGACGTAATACTGGCCGATCTCGAAGTAGAAATGCATCCGAAGTCCCCGTAACAACGGCAAATCCCGACCCGGTAGCGCTCTTCATGTAGTTTTGAGCTTCCAACAGGAAGGCCAATGTCTTGTACACTTTGCTCATGTGACTGCAAGTACCACAGCATCAATTGAGTAATTGAGCAATCAAGTACAGTCGGCATTTGAGTCACCTCTGGCCTGTGAAGAACCTCTCGAAGCCTTCAATCAGCAACACTGACGTCTCCTTGTCCACCACGTGCAGCGAGCACAAGAAGTGTTGCACTCCACGTAGCTGCGAAGATATCTATACAATAATAAATCAAATATAAAAGTATCATTTGTAAATAGAATTAATTGTAAATAAAATGACGAGGTTTGGCGTACTTGATGTGAATGCGGCTCCAGATGCCATACCATCGTCCGTATAGTTTCTCGGCAGCGTTTGCTACAGTCACATTACGATATCAATGGTACTAGGTGGTACCATCCATGCGTGGACTACGTTCTCTCTGTTCGCGTTAGTGGCGATCTTAACATTTCACAGAAATTAAACGGCTATCTATATACTGAACCGGTGCCGTAATATCCGGTGAGCTGGTAACAATAAAACCGGTCCTAAATGAACCTTGCGAAACCGGATATCCTGTTGTACATGATATATATTGACTCAGGTCGTTCCCAGAGACTACTTTGGAGTAAATTTGATGTTGCTCAAATGACAAACCTGATATATTTTTTTGAGGACAGCAAGTAGCATACGACTACGAAGTGGCCGTGGAAAAACTTGAAAATAGTAAATGTAGTAGCCAGCAACCAGCAGTCTTGGAACTGTTTGTATCATTCTTGTAATTTGCCAAGACTAATTTTTAGTCTGGCACAATGGTCCTCCCTGGAAACAAAACTCTATCGTGTTATAACTTATCTATAAATGATTAGCAGTTTATACTGTACGTGTTTTTGTTACTCCATTGCATTTTCACAAGTATTCCTGACATGACGTAACATTTTGATATTTTAATAATATGACGTGCAATTATTATGTAAATATGTAATTGCGGCTACCTGTAGCCAACGCTTCTTAACCTACACGATTCAGGTTAAGAAGCGTTGAATGGCCTAATTTAACAAGTGATTGCTTATCAATGAGTCCAGGAGAGACTTACCTAATTCCATAAAAATAGTTTCCGTAGGCCCCCACGTTTGACCTGGAAACGCACAGCGAAGTACATTTGCATTTTATGTTTCTCTTAGCCGGCATGCTTCCTCACCTCGTTCATATGCGTAATATTGGCGCCTTTCTACCGACCTTCTAACTCTAGCAATGACCTGTTTACTAAAGACGACCTGAGTAACATGATATGGTGCTATACCTGATAGAGAAGTCGTCCACGACTCGTATCAGGTACAGTTACTACTGTATTTTATCTTAAAAAGGGTTCATTTGTTGGTACACCTTAATTTTCCCGATTTTCTTGCATTCTGCCTTACTAATGCAATGCCTAGGTATGCAACATTCTGACTCAAGATGATTCGTTGTTACGATGTTCATCGTGCGACCAAAATTGCTCCGCACGTACGCTTGACCTGTTAAATTGATTTTAGAAAACAAAAAATTGTAATAATGTTATTATGTGTTTGCGAGATAAATTCTTATAGACTGGGTTTCCGAATAAAAAACCGAGGTCGAGCAGAATAATCGATCATTTTAACTGGTCAACATCGTAGCGTCCGTATCATAAACTCATACATACCGACTACAGCAGATCCCGTTTTGCCTACGTGTTCTGCCTACTCATCCAGGTGGTCGTGAGATTTGTGTATCGAGAATTGCTTGGAATTTGGTCGGCAATGAATTGGAACAATTTAAAAGGGGTTACTGTGTAAGCTACCGTACAGAGCTTACTTAAACCACGTTCGTGGCTGTTGTACACCCAACTCATACTGTTGGCACATTGGGCATCGTATGGGTCCACACCCTTGCGTCCACGAGAAGAAATCTCATATCAACTTGACGAATCGTTGATCGTGGTGTCGTACATATTAATTGTACAGTATCCTTATGTGATTGGCGACAGTCATATACATGAGGTGGTCCAGCCTTTCTGCCATCATAAAAGATACCTGTATAGAAAAACTAAAAAACATGTTCAAAATTATATTTGTCGCCAAGCACATAAAGCCCGACGGCGCGAAGTTTAAATCAATTTGATTGGCTGCTGGTTTTGTCGCTAATGACCGAGCGTCGCCAATCACATAAGGAATACGGA